AGACGGTCCCTCACTCCCGCTCGGAGCGAAGGACCATCCGTCGAATTGCCGCTGCAGATCGCGATCGTGGCTTTTTTTTTTTTTTTTTGGCTGCTTGGGGCGGCCAAAACCCTGGAGCCGGCCCTGAGTGCAGCCCAGTGGGCAGTAGATGCAGTGGTTCTTCCACTTTGGGTGGGGGTCTTCAGAATGAAGAGAGAGCTGAGCAGTGTGGGGTTGAGAGCTAAGCAGTGTGGGGTTGAGAGCTAAGCAGTGGGGGGTTGAGAGCTGAGCAGTGGGGGGTTGAGAGCTAAGCAGTGGGGGGTTGGGGTGATGGTTTGGAGATGGTCCATCAGAAGGTCTATCTCCTAGAGAGTGACCTGCAGAGTGGAGAAAGCTGGAGCCAGATGTGCACATCACAAAAATCCCACGACGGTCAGCACTAAGTGGGTCCCTTGTTGGCCGTCACAGCAGACAAGTCAAGGGCTGAAAGGGCCTGGAGAGTGAACTCCCCTCTCGCGCCCCAGGTCAGATGCATTGAAGGGCATTGGCTGGGCTGTGCATGGGAAGTTTGTGCTGCCACTTCCCATATTGTATGGGCTCGGTGGATAAACAGAGGACTTCAGTCTCCAGGGCTGACCACAGGGAACCTTTGACTGGCTCTCAATGTCAGGTGTGCACAAAGGTCTTTGCCCTATAGCAAGCAACAGATGGCTTTCTTTTTTTATCCCTGGAACCCAACAAATGTGGAAGACACCTTGGGTAGAAGCAGAGCATCTCTCTGCTTTTGGATAATCTAGTGGCATCTGGTTTGAATTGCAAGTACCCAACTCAGAATACACCCCCTTGGCCTTGTTGATACTGGGTTCCTGACTGGACACTCACTGGAATCCCAGAACTGGAGCTCCAGACATTGCTACCAAATGCCTTCACCTCTGTTAACTCTTGGCTCTCCAAGTGGTTTGCTGGCATTCTGGTGTGTCCTACGTTTTTGTGTTTTTCCAGGCTCTGGCATCCCGGAGCTCAAGACCATTCTCACTGGAGTCATGCTGGAGGAGTACCTGGCCATTAAAAACTTTGGAGCCAAAGTGGTGGGGCTGACCTGCACCCTCGCGTGTGGGAGCACCATATTCCTCGGCAAAGTCGTAAGTGTCCCCCGCTCGGTCTCGTGGCTGAATGAGGTTGAGGAGATGTTTTGGTTGCTGGTTCCTCTTGAGGGACCAGGCCGGTGTAGGCCATTGGGGATAGTATAGAAAGTACAGAAAGGAGACTGGGTGAGAGCCCCAATCTCGCTACAAGGGACTCTTCCAAATCTTGGGAGGGAGATGAAGTCAAGAGGTGCTGGGGTGTCCCAAGGAGGGCTAGATCCACGGCTTGTGCAAATCCATTGACATCAGTGGGATGATGCTGATATACACCAGCTGGGAATCTGACCCTGATTCAGGGCACCGGAGCGATCTTTAGCTGTCTGATATCTGAGGGCGTGTTTCAGTCAGGTTGCGTCAACAGATTCCAAGTCCGGTGAGAGACGGGAATCTCCAGATATACATGCAAAGAACCCAAGGGCCGTTCTGGGGCTGAGAACGGGTGTGTCTGTAACATGCTCAAGACAGAGCCTCTCCTCCCTGAGCAGCAAACAAATGGAGATTGAAACCGTCCAGTGGATGAGCAACAGTGGCGGGCGGATGGGGATTAGTGGGGCAGTGGCACTTAAGGTTGAGACCAGCCTGCTGATCTTTCCAAGTGACCTAAAATCCACCTGCTTACTTGGGTTGACCTGAACCTTGCTGTACCTTGGGGTTTGGCTAGTGGTCCAGATCTGAGGTCAGCTGAGCAAGGATTGAGATACAGCCCCCCCCGTCCCTAGAGAATGAAATGAAAATGATCAACTATAAACTTTAGAAACTCGAATGATGTTTTGCTACTGGCTGCATGAGACCTCCAGCGTGTCTCCTAAACTGAAATCCCCTGTAACAACACCAGTTTTCCTGCCGCACATTAAAGACAATGGTGCCGTCTAGTGGCTGGAACGCACAGAGGCGAGGGCTTCTCCGTCAGCTCTCGTGGCAGAGGTCTGTGTCTTTTGGGCTGCAAGGAGCAGGGTTCTAGCCCTGGCTCATCGGGTAACTGCCCGTTGTTGGCAGATGTGAATTGAGCGCTGATCTGGGCGGCAGTAGGGGGATCGGATAAGTCATTGCCGCAGGAGGAAATCTCTTGAGACCGTCTGATCTCACGGGCTTTCCAGCCTGCTTTCTCGCCCCAAGCAGTTCAGGTAACCAGCTGGGGCCAGATCCACACCTTGGGTTGTCACTGCACCGATGGCAGCCGGTTACACCTCGCTCAGTTGGGCCGTGGCCCCTTTGGGTGTTTCTCTCCATGCAAACCACTGAGCACCCAACTCCTTCTCTCGTCCAGGGCCCCTTCGTGCACCTCTCCAGCATGATCGCAGCGTATTTGGGAAAGATCCGAACGTCTGTCGTTGGGGAGTATGAGGTAAGGCGGAGAATGGGGCGGCCGCCTGCTGGTGAGAGGAGAGGGGACTCGGGGAGGGGGGTCAGACACCCCGATCCCTTCTCCCCAGGGTTGCCCTTATCGACTGGTCCCTGCTGGCAGCGTAGTGGGGCTCCCTGCACGTGCTAGAGTCTGAGGCAAACCACCCTGCTCTGTGTGTCTCCGTTCCAGAACAAAAGCAAGCAGACGGAGATGCTGGTGGCAGCCGCTGCTGTTGGAGTCGCGACCGTCTTCGGGGCTCCCATTAGCGGTAAGAGTGGAACTGGCCCGGCCCGGGGGGTGGCAGGGGTGGGGACCGTGTCACATGCTGGGGGAGTGTGTGGTGTCTCCCCCCGCCAGCTGGGTCACAGAGCAGAGGTTCCCCAACTTTTCTTATTGTGTTGTACCCCCCGCCAGAGCTACCACCGGCTGCCCCCCTACTGCCTGCCGGAGCTACCACCGGCTGCCCCCGTACCTCCTGCCAGAGCTACCACCGGCTGCCCCCCTACTGCCTGCCGGAGCTACCACCGGCTGCCCCCGTACCTCCTGCCAGAGCTACCACCGGCTGCCCCCCTA